AGGCATCAAGTGAAATTGAGTGCCTTTTCAAAACTTAAGACTTAGGTTCTCTTTTGTTTAGAAGAAGCATCCATAACCAATGATATTCTTTTGTAACATGCCTGTGGAATAAATAATGATGGACTAAATCTAATTCATTTAGTGGCACCTCCTCATTCTGTGCACATTCTAATATTTCTGATAAATATTGCCTTATTCAAGCTTCTCTGTGGTACATTATGTAAACTTTAAAATGATAGCTTAGAATTATTAGGGTAGATAAGGTGTTCTATTCATGAAGACTCAGCAGAGTAGTTAGTTTTCTATCGTAAAGTGCTAAAAAAAATGTTGCTAGCACCACTTTATTTTTTTTTTTTTTTTCAGATGTATTATACCAAGTGAGTGAAAAGCCCGTAAATGTGATATACATATATCTCAATTTAACATTGAAGTGATTAAAAATATTTAATTATGACTACTGACTTCTGTAGTTTTCCCCATAATTATTCATTCTGATTTATTTTTAATTCATTAGCTGTGTGACAATTTGTTTGCAACTTCCCATTAACAATTTACATGCACTCTCGGTGCCTTCGAGAATTTCTATAGCTTCTTCCAGGTGATTGATAATTTCTACCATGGCTAATGAATGTATCAGGTATTTCTCCCACCTTCTTAGCGTGCCTTTGGTGTAATGGTCAGCACACTCAACACGTATTTGAGAGGTTTAGGGTTTGAATCCCAGCGAGGGCATTGCTAATTTTTCATCTCTTCTGCTTTCAAAATAACCTAATATCTATACAGTGGCACCCAAACTAAAAATGGTGTAGGATGATGATTCTCCACCACTAGGATTTGGTGATTGGATCCCCTGCTCCCTTGTCGCCCTTTAAAAAGGGAGTATATATGGTATTTCCCCCGCCTTCTTGGCTTGCCTTCATGGTGTAGTGGTCAGCACACTCGGCGCATATTCGAGAAGTCAGTGCTTTGGGTCCTGAAGAGGGCATTGCTCATTTTTCATCTCATGCTTCAAAATAACCTAATGACTTAAAAACGGTAGACCATTACAAATAATACATTCAATTAATATATCAAAATTGCAAGCATGTGGTCCAAAGAAATTGTATGAAATTTATATTCACATCAGTAGTCGACCCACCAAATAATACATGACTGAGGCATTCTTTTTCCTGTGTATCTGTTGAGCTGTCTTATTTTAAATCCAAGATATTAAGAGCTAGAACTAGTAACAGTACAAGTGGAATGTCTTTTTTGAAAAACACATTTCAACTTAACTTTAGGAAATCTAGAAATACTAAGAACAGTTTCATAATAGTGTGGCAGGTTTACCAATGCCTTTTCATATGTACAAAACAGACAATATTTAATGCTCCTTTACAGAATACCCACATTTTAAACACAAAAACATCTGAGTGCTGTTTGGATTAAAGTTGCAATGCAGACAATAATTTGTAGCTTGTAACAACTTTGCAACAGTAACCTCTCGCACATGCTTGATAACATTCCCATCAACTGTGATTTGTATTAAAACAAAATGTGCAACTTTTCCAGCCTTCATGAAAAAAAGCTGAACAATTCTGTTGCCAGAGACATTAAATGAGATTGTCATCTTTAAACTTGAACTTTCCTTTTTGTTATCAGGAAATGAGCAGCTCAATATTAAAACTGTGACCTCTCAGGTCTTGCTAGGAGATGCTTGTTGGATTTCATATGACATGTATTTTATATTTTATACATACTTTCGTTTAACCACTTGCGCTACGATTAAACTTCACAGTTGCGGTGCCATGCGCTACAATATAACAAGCGGTAAAGTGTCTCATTTACGCCACTCCGCATCTGTGAGTGCAATTCAGAGCTGTAACTCGAGAAATAAACAGTCTCGTTGTTAGGAGACGTGTGTACCGCGTTATTTTAATTTTTGCAATAAATGCCTATCGACGTGGTGTTCACATCGCTCACGGTTTGAGACAAAAGCATCTCGACGTGCGTGGCACTTTTTTTTAGCGCAAGTGGTTAATGTTATCTACTTAATGTCACTTGGTCACTAATAATTCTTAGTTTTGTTTCTTGGAAGTGGCAACAAAACAACTTACATAACTAGTGAAAATATGTGTGTGTAGTAAGTAGGCTTATAAAAAGAATGCTTTGTTATTACATAAGTGACGTTTTATTAAAGATCTAGACTTATTTTCAGCAACAAATGAATGCTTTAAAGTATGTTTATTAGTCTCTAGAGTCACATGATTTGCTGGTAGATAGTTTATTTTGATGTGTAAGCAAATATTTTCTGGTATACTTAGCAGGACTCGAAAGATGTTTGTTTGGAATTCTAATGTATAAAAATAAATTCTAATGTATAAAGAAGCTGTTGAAAAAGAGATACACAGAGCAGCATTTACAAAATCCTTCAATGTGTTAGAGAAAGTTATAAAGAAAAGTGAGATGGATTCTTCTGAATTACAGTCGGAACTTAATGTTTTTGTTTCGAAAGTTGAACATTGGAAAAACACGCACATATGTTTTTCAGCACACTGACCGCAAATGAAAGTGAAGCAGAATTTAAGGATATTGAAGATTATCGAGGCAAGGCCATCAGAATCGAAACTAACGTGAAAGTTATTCTTCAGAATCTATAAAATGTGAGTACTTCAAATTTGGTTTTGAATGAATATGTTAATGAGAATGTATGCAAATGTATATTTAAACTTCCAAAGCTTGAATTATAAAAATTTGATAGCGAAATTAACAGATGGTTATTTTTTGGAGTCAGTTTGAAAAAAATTGACAAAATACTACAATTTCTGAAAGTGATAAATTTTAAATATTTATTACAAGCAACTGTTGATGGTTCAAATGCGAGGGAAGTTACGGAAAGTGTACTCGCTACAGCTGCTAATTATCCCAAGGCTATGCAATGTTTGAAGACTTTTTTGATAAGAATGACTTACAAGTGGAAGTTTGTCTGAAAGAATTATTAAAATTGGACACGAGAAATGCAAATTCAAGTAATTCCTCTAATAACTTATGGGCATTACAAGATAATTTGGAATAAATTTGGGCTCTGGAAACCTTTGGTGTCACTACCGGTAAAAGCACTGCACTTCTTTATTCTGTAGTTGAGCCTTACTGACCTGAGGACTTTTTAATAGCCTATCAAATAAGCGCAAATTTTGACCATGTTCCAGAGGCAAAATATAGACAGAACTGTTTATTAAAACTTTGGAAATCAGAAGTAGAATCCGAAGGATGTATAAATTTACCTGTGGCTGGATTTGTTTGAAGAATGAAATGTCCTCTGGAATTAAATCTTTTAAAACTGTTCACAAATAACCATCAACAGCAGCAAGTTTGTTAAGTGCTGATTCTCCTGCTAAAAAAAAAAAAAAATAAAAATAAAAATTAAAAAAAATAAAAAAAACTTGTGTTAAAACTAAAAAAATGTCACTTTCAGAAAGACAAAAGCCTGTTTAAAGGTTGGTCATTGTACAGATAAATGCAGGAGTTCTATTAAATGTGGCATTTGCTATAAGAATCACAATGTAATTATGTGTTTGGAATTACTTAAAACAAATATTAAGAAGTGTGTGTCTTAAACAGCAGTGGAAAGAAACTAGCAAGGAAGAGAGTTCTGTGAATCTTGCTAGTGTTAATAACTCACCATCAATACTTTTGCAGAACCTGGAAGTAATTGTCTACTTTGCTCTCGAGCTTTATATGATAGATTATTGCAAAAAACATATTTGAAGAAGGACTTAATTTCTACTGTAGGCATGATACCTCTGATACCTTTTAGAGAACAGATTTTGAGCCATGCCCTTTTTGGGGGAAAAGGAATACATGAAAATTTACATAATATCTTCAAAATTAAGCTAAAGAGCCTAGACAGTAATTTTCTTTCTACTTTTGATATTTATTAGCAAGATACAATTTGCGATGATGTAACTTCTGCCTTAAATGGCCCATGGGTTAAAAAGCTCCAGTCTGTAAATATACCATTTTATGGCACTAATGATTCAACAGAGCTATTGATCTTTTAATTTGAAGATGTAGCTGGTGGAATTTTCGCTGGGAGAAGAGTACTTTCTAGTGGTGTTGTAGCCATAGAAACTTACCTGGGCTGGACATTGATTGGAAGATTGGGAAAATACCATTCAGGGGTGAAGGGAAAAATATGGTGATGACGACTGCAACCATGTTTGTGAAAGATTCCAATATTTCTGACATCTTTCAACATCTTAAGAATATCCCATCCAGTTGAGGTAAAAATCATAAAAAGAAAAGAAAATTTCTTACAAAGAAATATTTTCAAGAAACTAAAAAATGAGGATGATGGGAGGTACGAAAAAGTTGACTTACCTTTTTCATGTATAGTAAATAGACATTTCTTTCCACATATCTACTGCATTTTTTGCATTTAGATTTTTCCTCATGTTCTTAAAATTAACTTATATGATGCCTTAAAAAACAGCATCCTTCTTATGGCTTATAGCTTATCTTATACTTTCTGTTTAGAGTTTATTCTAGATTTCTTTTAATAAGAAGTACAACTTTTGGAGTTGATAAAATCTGAAAAACTTTGAGGGCACTTTTTTTTAAGCTTAAGATCTTTTTTGCATCTTTTCTTCCCAATGTTTCTAGTTTTTATGCAGCATTTTTACAGCATAAACTGTAAATGAACACATCTTGATTTTTCTTAACCCAAACTTCTGTGTTGATATGTTTTAACAGTTTGTATGTAAGAATAAAATTCATATTTTGCCAAGATAGTTCAACTTTGTATTTAATTATAAATTATAGGTACAGTCTGAAGGTGATTTTGAGTAGTAAGCTTGAAGTTTTGAAGATGCATATAAAATACATTTTACTTTGTAAATTTAACATTTTCAGATACTTGTCCAGTCTCATTTTACTACTTGTTTGCTAACTGGCAGAGCTATTATTTATTATTTTCTCCTTTTCATTTCAATAGTTACATTTAATGCTTCTTTTACATGTAGGTTGCTTTGATTGGGACATATATCTAAAGGAATGTAATGCTGTTGCAGCTCCTGCTTCCTGGTTTAAGCAGGTATGTATATTCATAAATTTATTGCGCTACTGTTTCGTTCTTACACCTTTTTTTACATTTAAAATTCTTTCTGATCTATAAAATGTTATTATATATGTCATCACTCTTGTGTTAAGTTGTCTGCTAGTGTCGTTTATTCCTTATCTTAAAAAAGTGTGTTGCTGTGAGAATAACAATTTAGAGTAGAAATTGTGTATTGTTAAGTGTGGTTTTTCTTGTTTAAAAAGTTTTCCTGATAAGTTTTATAATTTAAAGATATTGTTTTCAAAATCCCAGTATTTGAATTTTATTAATAAAAATAAAAATATTTTTGTATTTTATTTAATGCAAAATTAGTACCTTATTTTTTTTTTTTTTTTTTTTTTTTTTTTTTTTTTTTTTTTTTTTTTTTTTTTTTTTTTTTTTTTTTTTTTTTTTTTTGATTGCGGGATGAATTTTGGCTGGTAGAGAAAGTACATGTAAAAATCTGAAAAAGTATATAAATGTGTTTGTAATATAATTATTGTATGCAGGGTTTTAAAAAGAAAAGTAGTAAGCATACCTCTTTCCTTCTGCAAGTAGCTTTTCGAAAGTGGACTGGGTAAATTTCTAATATTTCCTAATTTCATCACTTATCAGTTGTATATGCGTTGATGAGTCATTTAGAGAGCATTCTTCACCTTCTACAGTCTGTGAATATCCAGATTTTGAACTCGCAGATGAGACATAGCAGCTGCTAGCTGAGAATTATTTCAATGTAGTAGAAAACGAGTGTCTTAAAAAAGTGCAACATTTTGCATTTTTCATAACTTCTTTTTAATGGTAAAAGATGAGTGGTTATTTAATTTATGGCGCCTCAGTATCTCAGAAAAGAAAAGCATATTTTGAGACATCATTATAGTGTTTTTATTAGTAATAAATAAGATGATTTTCCACAATAGTACGAGGGTTGGAACTTTAATAGTGGCAACACAGCTGAAAAAACGCTACGTAACAAAACCAAAGAATATCACGTATACCACACGTGAACTACATACCTACCTTACCTCTCAAGCAAAAGACTCGTCCCTGCCTACGTCACGCGCATGCGAAGTGACACGAAGAACGGATCCTTGTATTAGCTCGCGGTCTAAAGTAAGTGTTGTCAGGATGTTTTCAAAACAAGAACAGCGATGTTGGATAAAAATTGAATGTGCCAGAAGTCTTACAGCACAACAGTGTCATCAAGGGCTTCAAGAGGCTTGCGGGGAATCTGCATTGCCTTACAGAACCGTAGCAAGATGGGTGAAAGCATTCAATGAAGGACGTCAAAACGTGGCAGACATGCTGCGGCCAGGTCGTCCGAGTGTCAGCGATGCAGACGTGCAAGCTTTTGCCGTACTAATGGACAATGATCGCTGCCAAACGATTCGTCAGCTGGCCGGACAAACAGGATTAGCGCATACGACTGTGCTGCACATTCTGAAGGAATGCCTGTCCATGAGAAAAATTGCTTCACGATGGGTTCCACATCAATTGACGGAGATGCAGAAATGGCTATGATATGATGCTGCCCGAACCCACTTGGAGCGCTATGAGCACGAAGGAGATGCTTTTTTACGCTGGATAAGACTTGGGCCGGATCGTACCAGCCAGAACTGAAACGCCAATCAAACGAATGGCGTCATCATGTGTCACCACGATGTTCAAAACTTCGTCAGAACCCCAGCAATGAAAGTTCTCGTGTACGACTGTGATGGTGTCATCCTAATGCATACCGTTCCCCCACAGCAGACCGTCACTGCGCAGTATTACTGCTCATTTTTGGAGCACAATCTCTGACCAGCTGTAAGAAAAAAAACGGCGACACTTTCTTCAGAACGCTCCTCTCATTTTGCATGACAATGCTCGGCTGCATGCAGCGCAAGCTGTGACTGATTTGTTGAAGTGATGGGGCTGGGAAGTGCTTTACCATCCACCATACTCCCCAGATCTAAGCCCTTGTGACTATTATTTCAATGTAGTAGAATGACTTAATTCCTAAGATGAAGGAACCACTTCGTGGCACTCGCTTCCAAACTGTTCCTGAGATTCTTGCGGCAGTAGACCGGTCCATTCAATCTATCAACAAAACAGGCGCTGCTACAGGTATTCTGCGACCTCCCACATCGTTGAAAACGGGTTGTACACAATGCTTGTGACTATATTGAAGGACTGTAAAACATGGTGACATGAATCACTTTTGTATTCATAGTCAATAAATAGTTGCCACTATTAAAGTTCCAACCCTTTTATAATTTACAAACTCAAAGCTAAATTAGCTACAACTACTTTCTTTAAAAGAAACAGGTCAAGAAATATTTGATACCCCCTCCCCATAGCTTCATTTCATTATAAAAGTTGAGCCATCTAACTTTTGGAATTTGAATCAGCTATTAAACTAATGTATATTTTTTCAAAATTTCAAAACTGAGTTTATTAGAAAGATTGAAATTTTCATTTAAGTGAAACACAGCCTCATTCAAATGACTGCCATAGCTGGCTTGACATTATCCCATCCAATCAACCCAGTTTTTCAGTACATTTTTTATTGTTTGGGCTTCAGTCGCATGAAGGGCAGCTTCAATTTCATGTTTCAAGGCATCAGTCGTCTCTGGGTGGTTATCTTAACACTTATCCTTAAGGGTTCCCAACAAAAAAAAAAAAATCCAACGGGGTCAAATCACAGCTTCAAGGCTGCCAATTGACATCTGCATTTTGGCTGATTATTCGATTTCCAAAAGCAGTGCGCAAAAGATCAGTAGTTACATTGACTATGTGGCAGGAGGCTCTATCCTGTTGAAGCCATATGTCATTCATGTCATCCTTTTCAGTTTTTGGAAACAAAAATTCGTTTAGCATTCCACCGTAACATTCACTATTGATGGTATTGGCAGCTCCTAGCTCGTGTTTGTAGATAAATGGGACCATGATGCCGCCGGACCAAAAACCACTCTGACCTCGATAGGTTTTTCTGGGGGGGGCAACCCTTAAATAATAAGTGTTATGCTAACCACCCAAAGACGATTGATGCCTTGAAATCGAAGTTGCTATTTGTGCGATTGAAGCCCAAACTATCCAAAATGTACTGAAAAATTGGGTTGATTAGATGAAGTACTGTCAGGCCAGCCATGGCAGTCATTTGAATGATGTGTTTTATTCTTAAATGATAATGCCCAATCTTTTTAATCAACTCGTAATTTTGAAAAATATTCATTAGTTTATATATATAGCCAATTCAAATTCAAAAAGTTAGATGGCCCACACTTTATAAACTTGGCATTTCTAACAGGAAAAATCAGTCTTTACATGCAAACCTCAAGGGAATGTTTGAGAACAAGTTTACTGTTTTGGATCACATTTAAATGTTTCTTACGTAACTTTTTAAACCTGGCAGTACAGCAGCTGTACCTAGAAAATGACTTTCTTTAACGCCAGCTGTGGTACAAGTGTAGTACTAGCATCCCGCTCTACTTTAGAGTAGTCGCCTATCTGCAGATCTCTGGGTGGTCCATTGTCGCTGCTCAGAGTAGCCACTGGCTATGCATTGTTTCCTTCTTATCAGTTTGGCGAAAACCGCAGGTTTCGTCTCGCACCAATATACTTGAAAATCAAATAGAAGCTATCTCTTTCTCAAATGTTAGAGCACTTTCTCATAATTTTAGTGATAACTTTTTTAGTACTAACTTTTGCTATGATTAAAACTTCAGCGCTTTTGCACGCTGTTTAAGCTTACCAGATTTATTGCTTTTTAATCTTAGCAAATAAGATTAGATTAATATTTTAGATTTAATGACCTTCTAGAAAACAGGTAAAACCGCTTTTATCGTTTAGTTCTGTTTTATACTTATGAATAATTTGGCCCTTTTTTGGAGTGCATAAAATGCTTAAGAACTGTTAACTCTTTCGAAGTGCTTCTATTATGTATATAATTTTGCCTGATTTATGAGGAGATAAATAAGAGGCAATTGCATGCATAACAGTTTTTGTGATTTTCATTCATTGTAAATTAAATAAAACCAATTTATCTTTAGACCCTCTTTTAGGATGACATCTCCCAGAATGTATTTAAGTATCATAAAAGCTAACGTAACTTCTAAATTGAATCAAAACATTAGTTACTTTGCATAAAAGTTCAACCAGTTTTATTTGCTGAAATTCTTACACTCCTCAAGAGATAAAGAGAATTCAGATAAGTTAAAAAAAAAATCTTTAAAAAAGGAATGTTATTTTGTCTTTAATAAGGTGTTTGTCACCTTACTATTAAATATATGAGAATTATGATTGCAGTACGGAAAAGCACACAAGCGCTATCTGCTTAAGGGGATGGATGCTTTCATGTAAACCTTTCTTAAGAGAAAATTGCTCGCATTTATGTTACTGATGGGAATATTCCACATGTAATCAACCCATTCTCCGGGTGTGATTGGATTAATTTGTTTGCTTACTGAATTACATCAAAGCACATAACAATTATCTGTATAAGAGGAGGGATGCCTTCGCTGAGGACTTTCTAAGGGAGGCTGGCTTGTATTTACGTTACACATAACGAAAAGCATGAATCCAACCCTTTAGCCGGGTGTAGTGATGTACATTACTAGGTTTTGTTGTATTGTGACAATCTATCTATATATATATATCTAGAAATCCTTAATCAATTTACATCTGCCCAATATTTGCTGGCCTGAATTCTAATTGGTTAGTACATTGTGTATAAAACCCTAGTATCAAGAAATATAAAATATTTTTCTTACTCAATAACCCACATACATGAGACTTGCGAAGACAAATTTCTTTTTCTTAATCTCACATTTATTTTTTAAAAACATTCTCTGGTTTAAATATATAACACTTATCACATAGCACATAAAAACATCAGAATAGAATAACTCAGAAGACAAAATGTGAGAATCTAAAAATGGAACAGTAGACCAACGCTGTAAGTATGATTAGAAAACAAATCGCAATCTGTTCACATTGTGCATCTATGCAGTTGGAATTTT